CTCTCTCTCTCTCTCTCTCTCTCTCTCTCTCTCTCTCTCTCTCTCTCTCTCCCTCCACGAGGGCCTATATCAAAGCCAAGCGGTCGTGAAGCGCGTTCCACAACAACTCACCCTCGATGTTGGAGCTCAGTGGACGCCCGCCTCCGTCGCCCCCGGCAATGCCCAAGTCCACTCTGCCCCTGACGCCGTCCGAACCCACCTCCCATAACAGGTTCTCATCGAAGTCGATCCCTGCATCGAGGAGGGTGTTGTGGAGAGTGCAGACGGCAACGAATTGCTGTGGCAATGTTTCCAGGTTCGTCTTGTGGGTGCGCAAGAACAGACGCCACATGCACTTCAATCGGCCGAACGCCCTCTCCACACACCCTCGCGCCACCTTCTGCCGGTTGTCGAAGGGCTCCTTGTCAGGACCTTGGTCCATTCCTCCATACGGCTGCACGATCCATGGACAGGCAACAGGATAACCGTTGTCGCCCAACAGGTATCCTCGCGTGACGACACCGTGCGGCAAATTCTCTGGAGCTGCCTCGAAGAGCTCGCCAGTCTGCGCGCGCCTCCAGAGCTGGGAATTGTGCAGGACGCAGACGTCGTGCACACTCCCCGGGTATCCGACGTGGACGTCGAGGATCTGGAGATCCAAATCCATGACGACCTGCGCTTGCACGGAGAACTTGTGGTTGCGACCGTAGTAGTTGGCAGAAGGTGCGCCGGCGGGCTTGTCGATGTAGATATGTGTGTGCAGTCAATGGCGCCGAAGCAGTTCGGGAATCCCTTGTCACGGAAAGCGCGGAGAATCTGCGCACGTTTGCGGCCTACTGGCCACTTGATGGCGTCGAGGTACGCCCGCAGCAGCGCCGAAGTGACGTCGTGGACGGCCTGCAGTCCAGAGGCCCTGCCGTTGCCGAAGGCTGAAGTGCCACTCTCGTACGTCTCCCTGGACGCCCATCTGTACAATGTGAAAGCGATAACCTGCTCCGCTGGCAATGGTGTCCTGTAGTGCGTGACCTTCTTCTCCACGAACGCGGCGAGAGCGGCTACGATCTGCTTGAACATGGCCATCGACATGCGCAACTTTTGGCGGAAGTACTCGTTCGTGGTGTCATCGCACTGCCGAAGGTCCTCCCATGTTCTGCTAGTACGTCGTTTAATCCACCATCGCGGGGTCTGCCGGGGGAAAACGCCGGACGACAGCGTTGTACACAACTGGACCACTGCCTCACACGTCACCACGCAATCCGCCGCTTCGGCAACGCTCTGCAACAGCGCTCGTCGTTTACGGAGCTGCTTCGCCACGTCTCGTGACGACGACGACATCTCGTTCATCGTCTTCAGGACGACGGTACACACCACCATCGCCACCTCCTCCATCTCTTCCGCCCGCAGACCGTGGCCGCAGCCGCCGCCATCCATCTCCGCAAATCGCTCACCCGCTACACCTTCGCTCYTGCCGCAGCCGCCAAAGACACGCCCGCTGCTCAGCGTTGCCRYTGGACACCACGCACACTGTGTGACCCGAAGACGTCCCGCAGWTGTGCACTACCTCAGGAGATGGAACATTCGGAGCCGAAGACGTGCCTGCTGCTCTACGCTTTCACAGCGAAGGCGACGGCACGTCCGTACGTGAAGATGCACCGAGCAGGAAGATGCGCCGCGCGCCTCGCAATTCCCGCGTACAGCAAAGCTGGTTACCCACGGCGAAGGGGCCGCCACCGCCATCTCTTGTATGTCACACGCGTCGCCTTGCCGTCCTTCAGCCCGCCAGCCTGCGTGCGCCAAAATTTGAATTTCAAATTTTGAAGGTCTCGGCAAGCGCGCGCTTCACCAACCCGTCGGCACCCGCCCAAGGCCCACCGCAGTGTGGACCACGGACACCAGCCAGGACTGGACGGACATCCGCGACGCCGCTGCGTATACGTGTATGAAAACGGGCCGCGAGAAAACTTTTAGGACGATTCCTAAAAGACGATTTTTAGGACTGCGTGTAACGACGCCGCGCGAAATCCTAAAAAACCTTTAGGACTCGTCCTAAATCTTTTAGGATTCTTTTATGAGTGTCTAACGAGACCCTAATTGCGCTATCATAATGGGGCAAGATAAAGTTTGCAATTTCACTTCGGGGACCCTACCTGACAAGAAAGTTGGGTTGTATATATACATTGCCTGAACTGCAATTTGAAACTGTACCTTGGCCCGTACAGCAATTATAACTCATTTTTTTGTGACTCCCACGTAGTGTCCCCGAACTGAACCTTGGCCCGTAGGGCAATTATAACTCATTTTTTTGTAACTCCCACGTAGTGTCCCTTTTTTTTTTTTTTTTTTTTGTGGTTCATAATATGTCAAGGTGGAACAGGGAAGATAATAAAAAAATTGGAAATTTATTTAACAATTTTAACCGGACAACTAGGGAACAGCTCCCCCAGAGTCTTGCCATAATGGCCAGTTGTTCCCAAAAAAAGTAAAATAAAAATAATGGCCAGTTGCCTACGCCTCGCTGACACTGTTCAAAAGTGAATTGTCACCCCCATCATTATTTAGTTCAATACGCCCGTGGGTTCTTCCTGTCTCTACCCATGGCTGGCCCATAGCCTTTTCCCCCAGACTGCTGGCTACTGTCAGCGGTCTTCAGACAAGGACACACAGGTTTTCTTTTTCCTTTTTATGTCGCATTTTCTACTTTTTTTTTTAAAAATTGCGCCTGTGACCGCTGCAAAATTCAGAATTCACAGTAATAACAGTTCGAAACAGCAAGAAAAACAAGCACGTCGTGCGGCGGTTTAGCGCTGCGGTCCGACTCCTCCGGGCAGGTCGTACGACCTGAGGCCGCCACACCCAAGTCGCCCTGCCACGAGCGACGACCATAGCCTCGTTTTGGCTGTGTAGTCTGTCCAACGCCACCAACCGATCGCGTTGGGAGCAGGGACAGCGTGCTTACAAACATGCTATATATCACCTGATCGACGCGTTCAGCGCGCTCGGTCGCTAGGTGCGTAACCTGTGGAATAACTTCTATTATATCCTACATTGCGTTTGATTGGCGCACCTGCGCCTTCTTCACCACTTTCACTTAGGTCTGCTCACACGACACTTTCTGGACTCGATGTTGGCAAAGTAAGATGTGGCATTGCAACTGATGTGGCGAGATCTGCTAGCGGCTGACGTGGCGCTTCTTGTGAGCCTTTTATTTCTCTATTCAAGATCTGCCCTCTTCTCAGATTGTGCTTGTTTTAGTCCTTCCTTCCCCGCCTCTGATCATGGCAATCGGAAAGGGGAGAGTAGAGAATTGGGATTGCTTTTTTGTTTCGCTTTTTTAGGTTTTACCTTCTTTTTATGAGAGGCATCTCGTTCTGTTCTTTCCCGAATGGGAATCCTTTATTATCTTTAACGTAGTACTTGTTTAGTTTTTTTTCCCCTAGTGTTGTTAACCGGTCTTTGTGCGAACTATCCCTTCTTCATTTTCATCAAATATCGTTTTCTGCGTTTGTTGTGGTTGCTACGGATTATCACTCCTTTCCTGCTTGGCATGCTTTCTGTAACCTTGGCTTTTCTCTTCGGAATAGCCTCGCCGAGTCGCTGGACATTTTCTTTCCAGKCTATATTAGGTTTCTCTTCGTCATCATCGCTTTATCTTTCCTGTTCCTCTACATCAGCTTCATGGATGACTGGTTAAAATCGTTGGGAGAAGAACCGCCTAGTCATCGAGCCTTTCAGCATAGGAAGCACTAGGAACCCCACACGCTCTCCCAGGGTTTCTTCTTCTCTTAGAGACATGGCACCCGAACAGCAATCAACCATCTTGCCAGCTGAGGAAAAACGATTGAAAGACGATCTCCAATTGTTTTCTCACCGGCGATGAAAATCCAGATCTGGCTTGAAAATATATCCGGTCTGGAATCAACCCGGCACAAAACACTTTGGATATACATTTGGACAATAAATATGAAAAACTCCAGATAGACTATCTCAAATCACACGGGGTTATGGTATTGTTCATAGAATGCGGCCAAGAAAGAAGACTGGGTTTCACGGGCTGAGTCTAAGTGGGATAAGTCTTTGACAGGGGGATTGAACGGTAGAGTCAAACCGGAAGGGGCATCGGTGATATCATATCTTGCCTCGACCACGCGGCTACGAGATTGGTTGGTCAATGACTTGGGGGAAGGAAAGATAAATTGGCAGGGTGGCGAGTACAAAGTCAGATTTCGACCATGGTTGACTCCCAATGAATTGAAACGGGACAGGCAGATTGAGCAAGAGGGGAGGTACTGGATCTGGTACTTAAACCACCAGTACACGGCCCCAACCTTGCAGTCTGAAACTTGTCGCCACAAGAAAAAGAGGCCAAAACATCAAACGCTGAGCTCGCCGTTCATAAATCAGATCGGCGTTTGTGGTTTCGTTTCGCGCCTCCAGAATTTGAGGTGTCAGGCCCGCGGCCCAGGTGCCCATGTACTGGTGCTTTAAAGTTCCCTATCTAGCCCTCAACTCTTTGCAAGCGGCGATCGAATCTCATTACGGGCGAGTCATTCGAGCTCTACCTTTGGAGAAGCGCAAAAACGAACCACGCCTGGTCAATCGTCGATACGATTTGGAAATGGCGGCTCGAGGGAAGATACAACCTACAATCACCATCCATAGCACTGAGGGATTGCTGAGACTCGAAGTGATCACTCAAGACACCTCTTGGTGTGCAGTACATAAGTGGTGTGACCATCCTTCGGTCAGGGGTCGCTGCTTGGAGAATGTGCTGCCTGACCATTGACGAATGGACAGACCATCCGTTAGGCAGTGGAGGAAACAACGGGACATGATTTGAATCCACAAGGCCCCCTTAACGATGTGGAAATGCGGATGGCGTGAGACAAAGTGAAGAAACCAGACAAATTGGCGAAATCTAGATTCGACGAATCTCGTGCAGCCAGAGAAGATAATTACTCCCCATATTGCAGGACTGGGAGTAGAGGGGGTGGTGGAGGGGGGAGTGGAGGGAGGGGTGGTGGTGGCGGGCGGGGGGTGGGCTCCTCTGGAGGAGAGGGGGGAAGATTTGTGACAGAACCAGCAGGACCTTCGCAACCTGGACTTGGAGCTTGGGGGGACACACGTGACGATTCGCGAGAACAGCATTAGCAACAACACGGCATGTCAGCCGGACGGAGATTGAATGAACAAGAAGACCACACTATGCCTCCCTTCCTGATATTCTCACTCATTCTGGCGTGGAATAAGGAAGACCTGAGCTTGCTTACAACACGACAAAAAAACTCTGTCACTCTGTGCTCTACATACTTCATGTGCCTTGCGATGCTGAGCCCAACATAGATGAAACCATAACAGAGATCCAGAAATGGTTAAAAACGGGCTATCGGTTGCGCAAGTGGCCTGAGGTCCAATGGATTAAGATTCCGAAGATATACCCGAACGGAGAAGAGATATCACTTTTCTTCCTCTTCATTGATGCTCGGCGACCCGAGGGGGGCCAGGAGCTGGCAAACATCCCAGTAGCACGTTGGATACCTTGGCGGAATTTTTCCGCCATGAATAACCCCATGACCCTCACCACGCAGCTTGGTGGGCTTTGGACAGTAGAGCTCTTGCATGAGGTAAATCGCATAGTTCAAGATTTTTGAACCTGGTTTCGCGGGACTCATGATGCAAAAATGAGTTGACAGATTCCCGCCTCCAACTATGTAATCTCCCTACTAACAATTCTTCTGTCTTCTTTACTTACTTCTTTACTTTCCACTCACTCTTTCTTTTTTCTTTCTTTCTTTTTCACTCCCCTCTCTTTGCAGTGTTTGCACCCCTTTTTTTCACCGATCTCCCCCTTCCTACCTAATCCTCGTTGAATGGATAAATTAAAAGTGTTATCTCGGAATATCCGTGGCCTGGAAACACGACAGGTGGCACACAAACGTTCCCTTATCAAAACAGTGGCTAGGAATAATGGTGCTGCAATTGTCTGTTTACAGGAAACTAAACTGAACAGACAAGCAATCAATGCACAATTATCTTGGTGGCGTGGTGCACAGTTTTGGGCACCCGCAGTTGGTGCAAAAGGTGGAGTAGCCATATTATTTAAACCCAACTTGCTAATCACCTTTCGTGACTACTTCAGTGATTGTGAAGGAAAGTGGATATGGGTCGTTTTTGAAATGGACGGACTGCTGTGGGGGGTATACAATGTGTACGCCCCGGTGGATCGAAAACACAGATCTACCTTTGTTCACTTCCTACCGGGAATAACCCCCTCTGTTGACCGCTTTCTTCTAATCGGTGATTGGAATACAGTTCTTCAGCCTGACATTGACTGTACTACAATGCAACAACCTACTTCTACAACATTGGGAATGGACAGATGCACTTCGTCATCTTAATCCGCATGACCCTATCTTCACATGGATTGGGACTTCCCTGACTGCTTCACAAATACTACCCGTAGTCGGTTGGATATCTGTTATCTCACAGTTTCTATGTTGCCACTGCTGTAACAGGTKGAGGTCCTTCCCTCCCCAGGCTCAGACCATTTTCCCTTGATGGTTACTCTTAAACGAGGAGTCCACACCACTAGACACCGTGACCTCGCCCACCT